TGGTCCCACTTCAGTACACATACTTCTGTGCATCCTCTAATGGTCCCACATCAGTGCATCTACTTCTGTGCATCTTCTAATGGTCCCACTTCAGTACATCTACTTCTCTGCATCTTCTAATGGTCCCACTTCAGTACATCTACTTCTGTGCATCCTCTAATGGTCCCACTTCAGTACATTTACTTCTGTGCATCTTCTAATGGTCCCACTTCAGTACATCTACTTCTGTGCATCTTCTAATGGTCCCACTTCAGTACATCTACTTCTGTGCATCCTCTATTGGTCCCACTTCAGTACATCTACTTCTGTGCATCCTCTATTAGTCCCACGTCAGTACATCTACTTCTGATTGTGCTACTTAATCACACAATCTTATGACAGGGACCTGGAGGAGCTGCTGCAGTGCTTGACTGTTGCATCGTTCCGAGCCGCAAAGAGGAATTCCCTCGATGTCCCCAAGACAGGGTCAAGACCTGGCCACAGATTTGCTCATTATCACTTTAGAAGGTCAGCTGTACCCAGAGACGAACCAGACAGGTAAATAGTTTATTCTTTGGGATAAATTTGGCCAGGCATCCACATAGTTTTTACCATAGTGATAATGTGGCCAAGCAACATTCACATAGTTTTTACCATTGTGATGTGGCCAAGCAATATTCACATAGTTTTTAACATTGTGATAATGTGGCTAAGCAACATTCACATAGTTTTTACCATTGTGATGTGGCCAAGCAATATTCATAGTTTTTACCATTGTGATAATGTGGCCAAGCAACATTCACATAGTTTTTACCATTGTGGCAATGTGGCTTGAAAAACACATAGTTTTTACCATTGTGATAATGTGGCCAAGCAACGTGCACATAGTTTTTGTCATGTTGATTATTTTTCAAACAGTGAGTAAGATTTCAGTTAATTCAGCCAATGATTTCTTACAAGATACATTTTTAGAAATACCATTTTGAAATTGATTTCCATACATCAGTATATACTTTATGTACTTTGCTATAAGAACTTGTGTGCGTAGTTCTTGACAGACAAAGATTTGGTTATTTCCAGGTATAAAAATGAATTAATTTGTAAAGAAGATATCAGAGATTATGACAGGCGTTGCAAGTTGGCAGATTTAGTAGAGCAGCTGGCAGAGAAAGAAAGGAATGAAGCAAAGCTTGAAGCTGAAGTCATCAATATTTCTGATAGTGATGAGGTAAGCTTTTAGAAATAAATTAAGTAATTTATGTAGTTATTGGTGTGTTTAGTGAAAATGCGTGTTAACGTATGGAAAGATTGGTGTGTTTTGTGATGATGTGCGGTTATTTACGCATCTATTGGCATGTTTTGTGATAATGTGGGGTAATATATCTAGTGATTACTGTGTTTAGGGATGATGTGTGATAATTTATATTGGGGTGTTTACTGATAATGTCTGGTAAGTTATGTTGTGCTAGGTGTGTCTCAGTATGGGAGTTCACTAGTAATAGTTGCACTGAATATAGCTCTTAATGTGGGTGGTGTGTTAGAGAGAGTTAGTAGTTAATGAATCCTTTTCCCACCATTAAGTTGTTGAGTATAGTTGTAATCATGACATAGTGTCATGGTTCAGCAGTGATTGAAAGAACCTTGTAGTGAGTGGTTGTGCATTATTTATCCTTGTTATAGCAAACTGCATTATACATATTATGTTTGATTAAATGTAAAGTCTGATAATGTTTCTGGATTAAAGTTTACATTGCTAATGGAAAAGGACTTGTGTTCAGTTAGGTGTGATTACGACATATGAATATAAAAGAATTTGATGAAAGAGACCAATTAAATACGGATATGTGACACTGTTTAGTGAACGTTACTTGTCAGTTTGGTCTTGTATGATTATATATCACAATTTTTTTTTACAATAGTCCTGACTGATAAAGAAAACTGTATATGTCCCCACTGTTTCAACAGGCACCCTCATCAGATCTTCAGACTGCCCTGGGTGAAAATTTGCAGGCTATTGCGGAGCAACCTTTGCGTAAACAATTAAACTCTAAGGATAAGTATAATATTTACAGTGATTTAATCGAAACTTTTCCTAAACAAGCTAGTGTGTTGGAGGAACCTAAAATGGAGAAATATAAGGAGTGTCTGAGAACCAGAAGCCATAAAGAGTCGGTAACTAAACCTGGAACTTCGAAGACTGAATTTCCAACACTTCTCACAACAGCCTTGCCTCATGGGTCTCTCTGCCCTAATCTTGCGCCTTCAGCTCATGTGTCAAATGAATTAAATTTTGGGATATTGCCAGATGTGGTTACAGCAAGTTGTGACCCCACTTCTCTCTCTGCCATCCCACTCCCTTCAGACATCAAAACCCCACATGTTCTGTCGGTGTCGTCAAGGAACCTTAACACAGAACCAGGCAAAACTGTGCATCAGCAAGACCCCAAGGAGCAAAGTCCCAACAGTCAGCTTGCAAGTTCAGAGAACTTGTATCCGACCACATCAAGTGTAGACAGTGCTGTTTGTCAAGAAGCCAGACCAAGTGTTTGCTGTGCAACTCTTGATTCACAACAGAGTGCGTTACCCTGTCTGAAAGAAAAGCATAATAAAACTGCAGCCCTGGACGTGACTGGACGTGGGGGCGTTGAAGAAGAAGCCAGCGATAAACAGAAGCCAAGTCTAGAACGAGAGAAAATGTTGAAGAGTTTAAACAAGTGTTTAGTGCGTAAGTATTAAGACGTTGTAGAACTAAGTGAAGTAGAGCTTAAATTGGGCAACTTTTTTGGTCCTCTCTTCTTATTTAAAAAAAATATATTTCTTGGCCTTTTAGTTTTGCATTCTGGAATACATGAAGTTTAATTCAGAGGTGGGGGGAAAAATTAACAGTAATTGTATCACGTTATACAAGTATTGAGTGTAGGTATGTAAATTCTGTCAACAAGGGGGAAATAATCTGCATTTAGTAGTTGTTTCCCTTTCCTCAAAGTTTGTTTTTCTGAGTAAACCCTGCTACCGATGTATTTCAGTGTCATTTTCTTTTTGGTTTGTATTTCATTCTTATGCATTAATGTAATATACAAGTTACACTTCTCATTAAATGATGGTATAGACAATGAAGGCAATGTAAAAAAAATAATAAAAAAAAATTTAAAAAAGTGTCTTGGTCGGTAAGATTTGAGTACTCCTGTCACTTAGACATCTCACATCTACTTACTGTGTAGTCCTGGTATCTGAAATTTCTTACGTATGTTTTTTTTTCCCATGTCACTGAAGCACAAAAAAAAAATAAAACACATGACAAAGGGATGTGTGCACCAAGAAGTATTGTATTTGACAGCAAGCCTATTGGTAAGACTTAATAATTATGTAGTGCACTATGTAAAAATTCATTGCGTTGAGTTCCCGTTCCTGGCCGGCATTGGTGGCCCTTGCCTTACTGTCATAAGAGTTTTTTTTGTTTTGAGCACACGTGCCTTTCATCCATATCTGAGCGACAACGATGTGTCCAAGAAAGATATGAAGGTGCCCCGGTAAAATACGAGCCCCGGTTCAGATGTGCTGAGAACCGTTGCAGCTGGGTAATGTGAACAGGGTTAATAAATGGGCTACGTTCCAGTTGTGTGAAGGAAATATTGGAACAAGTTTTTTTTGGAAGCTTGAAATATAAAGACAGGACAATCAAATGAGAACGTTTTCGGCTAGAGCCTTCTTAAATAGACAGGAGAAAATGAGAAACAAAAAGAGATGGAAAACAGTTGTTTTTTTTTTTTTAAAGTTGTTTGGAGTTCGCCAGGATTGCTATGTTATTGCCTGATGTTGGGTTTTCCAAAACAAAAATGCATTCTATCCAAAAGATTGCAGGAAGTAAAGGAATGTATGTATCCTTACTGTGAAAAATGAGATTTTAACCCCCAAAAATGTTTTGAAATATGCAAAATATAAGCAAAAAGAAAAGAAAAAAAAGGATTAAACAAAGAAATAAAAAGGCAAATGGTAACCTTGTTAAAATTCAGCAAGAACAAATTTTAACCCTTCTCCAACAATTACTTATCATATAATAAAAAAATAACTAAAAAAAACTATCTGTCATTTAAATATTTGATCAAGTCTAAAAGGCAGTAGAAATTTATTTTAAGAATGGTTTGAATTTTTAAAATTTTTTTTTTATTTACAGATACTTAAGTAATGTGCATTATTTGATGCTGTAAGTGTAAGCAACTTCTAGCCATGCTTGATAAGTTACCATAGTATTCAAAGTGTGTCAAGTCATAATGAGATTTAATTGTCTAAATGAATTCAAGAAACGACTACGCCAGGCTGGCCGCGACTTAAAAAAATAAAACGCAATTTTCAAGTGTCAATGGAATTCAGTATGTTTTATGTTTCTTTGTTTTCCCAGAGCACAAATGTGACCCAAGTTTAGAGAAGAACGGTTACAGGCTACTCACATACTTCACTGACCCCAGGAGGGACCCTAGATTGTTCCCAGATGACAAAAAATCAGCAGTCAAGCAGTTAAAAAAACAACTGCACCGCATGGCTCCAGAAAATATTCCAGCAGAACCTTGGCAGCTTTCCAAAAGCAACACTTCAAAAAGTGAATCACAGGCGGATCAGGGAAAAAAAGGTCTTGGAGGCAAATTGGTAAAAGAGTCAGTCACTTCTAATTTGCATGTCAGAACTTGTGGACAGAGACCTATTAGTGATGGACTAACATTGATACTCAACCCGCAGCTCGATAGACATTCTTATGCAGGTAACAGTGTGAAAGCTTATTTTGAGCAAGGGAATTTTGAGCAAAGGTCCATCGATGGGGGAGAATCATCAAAGGGAAGAGAAGCAATGTTGAACTCTCATGCACCTCTACCAAGTTTTGATAAGTTTGAAGGATCCGGTCTATGTCAAGACTTGAGTGTGGCCTTTCAGCAACAAGTACCTGCTGGAACTGAGCAGTCCCAGGAGCAAAATGCCAAGCCGTTGCCAAAAATGGGACCTGTAAATGATTTACCTCAGAAGATCACCAGGGAGGTGACGACTGGTGACACGCCACCATGTACTGCAGGGAGCAGCAGGCGAAGACTCCCAAAGATAAGCCATTCTCAACGAACCAATGGAGGCAGTTCAGACTCATATAAACAGTCCACCTGTAAGTCCTTGCCTATGAGCAGGGCCATGAAACATTCTCCCACCCTTGTTTTCAATCATAGATATAAAAAAGGGAGGTGGCACCTCCCTGTCTCGTATTCAAAATCTCCCAAATGGTCGTCTCCCAAAACTCGTGTTCGTCCATTTAAAAGAAGGCAAATTGAAAAAGATCCAGTTGACAGAGAAAGATCCTCTTCACGCAGCAGCTGCTCTTCCAGCCGTCATACATCATCTCGAAGATCATCTCCCACCTCTCACACGTCATCTCGAAGATCATCTCCCACCTCTCACACGTCATCTCGAAGATCATCTCCCACCTCTCACACGTCCTCTCGAAGATCATCTCCCACCTCTCACACGTCATCTCGAAGATCATCTCCCACCTCTTACACGTCATCTCGAAGATCATCTCCCACCTCTCACACATCATCTGAAAGCTCAACTTCCAGTGACTGCAGCACTGAACCAAAGAAACCACGTCTAAGTGTGCAGAAAAAAAAAAAAAAAGCAGGGACAAAAACACGTCATCTCGAAGATCATCTCCCACCTCCCACACATCATCTGAAAGCTCAACTTCCAGTGACTGCAGCACTGAACCAAAGAAACCACGTCTAAGTGTGCAGAAAAAAAAAAAAAAGCAGGGACAGAAAGGCCTGGACGAGACCGGTTTCACAGTGGAAGTTCAAAGGTCGTGGCAGAACAGGCGCCAAGAAGGGCCAAAAAGAGACACGCTCAAGAGCCTGGTGTTGCAGTTGATGGTGCCTTAAAGTGGCCCAAATAAAACTGCCTTGCCATCAGGCATGCACTTTGACTCTGAAATCCACCGTGAGCCAGAAGGTAAAAGACCAACAACTAAGTAAGAATTGAAGCTTAAACACTATGAAAGGAATAGATCTTGAAAGAAAAAGATGATGAAGTGGATAGTTGTACGAAATATAATTCAATACTATACCATTGCAACTGAAGGAGTTATATAGCAAAAGATGTTTGCAAAAAAAGCTATGTTATAAAGCCATGTACATTTACATTATATTTTATATACTGGACATAGCTAAAAAGCATGTGTTATGGGCAACTAGTTTTCATTATAACAGTACAGCTCATTGTGGCACTGACAATGAGATGAAATGTTCCAGCTATTACTAACTGAATTAATGCACAGGTCCCTCTATCACCTGCACTATGAGTTGAGTCTTTGACTGCTTACAAAGAAGTAAATCTATTATCCTTTGAAGGGATGTCTAGAAAAAATGAGTTGCCATCCTTTGCTCAACCATTCTTTTTCATGGAGTGACTCCACAGTTTCTGGTACAATGTGTACCACATAGTTTATGACAAGTTATGACATTAGCCTCAAAGAACAGGAAGTGTATATACTTGTTCAAAGTCCCATTTCATTTTTTTTTTAAAACTGATATTTCTCAAATCTGTCAGTGATATTTTTTTTAACTTACTGACAATATTGGCATTTCTTTGCACTGCCTTATGACTGATTTTGAAATAAAACCTACCCTTTTACCTTTTGCATTGAACCTTTAAAATGTTCATTGAACCTTTAAAATGTTCAAAGTAATAATTTGAAGATGGTTTACAGGTTATATAGTAAGTTTAGTGGCAATCTGCTTTTTTTTCTCTCAAAGTCTACTTTTAACCAAAATAAAATGAAATGAGTTATTAAAAAAATGTATATTTTATGCTGAATCGTGCATCTAAAATTAAACTTTCAAAAGATTTTTTTTTCTTCATAACTGGGAATGTGGGTTTTTTTTTTTTTTTTTTTTCATAATAAATTTGAGAGGTTGATAAGAATGTTTGCATAGTTAGAAATATAATTTAATTTTGATTTTTTTTTATTTTTTTTTTTTTTTTTTTTTGGGTTTTTTTTTTTTTTTTTTTTTTTTTTCATAATAAATTTGAGAGGTTGATAAGAATGTCTGCATAGTTAGAAATATAATTTACATGTCTGTGGTATATGTGGATATCTGTTTCAGATATTTTTTACTTCTTTTACTACATTTCTTACCAAATGTTTTATGTGAACAATAAATATATATTGCCAGTTGACAAGATAATTCTTGTTTTAAATCAATTTTAAACATTACTTTGGTCTAATATTTCAATCCCTTTTATTAAAAAAAAATGTTTTCTTCCATTTCATTTTTATCAAATCATCATCATATTTTTATTTCACCGATCGGTTTCGTTTTGGTTAGTTTTCTTTTTGTTACCTGTAAATGGTAAAATTAATAAAAGATATTTTTTTAAATCTTTATTTATTTGTTCTGTTTTGTGGTATTTATTTGAAGTTTAAAAATACACTTATAAAATTATTTGAGCTGAAGGACAGCTGAACTGTATAACTATGAAAATTTAGGCTTGGTTGCACAGTAGATAAATTTAAGGAATGTTGCTTTAAAATTGAGACAGCTTATTTATAGCATGTCTTTAAAATTAATTTGCCTGCAGTGCCACAACTGTGTGATTGGCACATAATTGCTCAAGCAAAAAAACTACTGAAACAGCTTCTAATCAGAGGTTTGAGTCCCAGTCATCTTTACACCAATACAAAATGGTATTTAAAAAAACATTCATGTTTATTAAGGCAGTAAACAAAGATTCAAAATCATCAAATATAATTTTAAAATAAAAAAATTAAGATTGATAAATATTAATGTTAACATTAATTTCAGGAAATGAGCACATTTGCCACAATGGAAAATGACAAATAGAAATAGAAAGCTCTTGCTCTTCATAAAAAAAATAATAATTTGCCTCCACAGTTACTGGGTTGAAAAGCTAATTGTAGTAATGTAGTGTTACTTAAACCAACTGGTCACAATGAAGCAATTAATCCACAAAACATAATGACAATTGAAAGAGTTTTTTTTTAAAAATAATCAATCGAGCTACTGATTATTTTTTAGAGGAATATTTTACAAACTCATCTAATCGAGCTACTGATTCTTTTTGAGAGGAATTTTTGACAATCTCATCCCATCTCTTCGTTCTTCTGAGTTCAGGTCAGAAAATGCTTTCCATGTTTTTCATTATTTCTGGACGCATCTTATTTACACATCATTTATGCCTTTGTATTTTCCAGTAAAGTTTAGCAGTTGGCTAGAAATTTTGGCAGTTAATTATTATTAATTGTGATTAAAGAAGATAGTCAAAAAGGGAAAACATTCTCAGATAAATTGTGTAAAATTTGTTTCTACGTGCCTACATTTTAAAAGATGACAAGGAAGAACATCTTAAATTTGAATTGAGTAAAGAACTAGAGAACTTCCCTCTCTTGTCACACTTTGCTTCTGTGCCTGTGGTTACTAGCTTATCGTTTCTGATGTTTCATTTCTTCCCATGTCAACCTTGGCCTTCGTCTCATTCCTATTTGCTTGACCACTTAGGTTGGTGGTAGTGTCTCCTGGGCTGGAGAGGCTGTCACCTGCCACTTCCAACTCCTGTCAAAATAAAATGGTATAAATCAAAGTAAAACAAAAAAGCTAAAGTAAATTTGAAAAACCAATGTTCCCATTTTTTCTTACACATAGAAGACACTGTAAAACACACAATAAATAATTTGGTATCACAGTAGGACATAAACCTTAAATTTGATCTTGTAACTTGATAGTGTTCAAGGAATCAAACAAATCAATTGCTTTAAACATAAAAAGTCAGCTTTATATTTTAAAAACACTTGGCCCATTTCTGAGAAATCATCATGAAGACCCAGTATTCAAATAAATAAGTTTTTTTGTTAGTCAAAGTTACCCTGGCTCTGTAAAGTTAATAGGAGCCAGAATGATCAATATTGATCGTGGGCCCTTAAAATATAGAAGAAGAAGAATTTATTCGCTTTAATTTTTTTTAATGTGAAAGGTGTTTTTACAGTTTCTACAATGTTGGGTTTAGAAATAACCAATGAGAAATTACCTCATCATAAGTGGCACCATCCCCAGAAACCTCAGATAGTTCTGGGGAAAAAAATTAAATTATTTTTCATTATGATACATTTTGTTTAACTTCAAAATGAAAGGGAGCAACAACAAAATAATTTTGTAAATTCTGTAGTGTGTTGTTTTTTCTTACATTGTATTCATCAAGTTAATTATTTTTAAATGGAAGTTAATTTTTAAGCGAAAATGCAGTTTATTCACTAAATGTTTGTTTTTTTTAATTAAAAAGAAATTATAATATGTGATAAAGATACCTGATCCTAAAAAATAAAAAATGTAAACTAATTCACTTTTTGCTCTATAGCATTATAAATATAATAGGACAGAAAACTTCAGCTAGTTACTGTAGTCATGTACTTCATCATGTAAAACTTTACCCGAAATATTACAATTTGGAAGGGCCTCACACCTTCGGACTTGTAAACTGTCACCTGATATGAAGACAAATAATAAATCATATTCAGTTACTACACATCATTGCCTTGTACCATTCCCTACAACTAATATAAGAAATTAAAATCACCAATTAACTGTTTGACTTAATTAGCTATTTATTACCTTTTTAATGGTATAGTCCTGAAGTTAGCCACAAATGTGAAACTTAATCTGTCTTTAAGTATAAGAATTCCTATAATAAAGGCTGTCATGAATGATAATCTTTAGTAAATCTTTGTCTAAGTAAGACATAAGATTCAGAGCTATTTACCTTGACAATTGAGACCACCATTTTTGGGAGCAGGACATGTGCACATTCTGTGTCTGCCCTGCAAGCTGTCTTGTTTACATGTTGATGAGCAGCTATTCCACTCACTCCATGCACACCATGAGCCATTGCCTAAGATAATTATGTTAACTTACTTCAAAGGTAAAAATTAAATTTTATATTTGAACATAAATTTGGGGCTGTCCATAAAGTATGTCAAGCTAGCTGAAAAATTATTCCTGTTCAGTGGTAAGTGAACAAACAAGATATGTTGGTGAAAAAATATGTATGGTGAAATATAAAAAGACTAGTTTCTCCAAACTTTAAATTTAAACATATGAATATAATGACATATATACGTACGTGGACAGTCTTGGTCATTAAAGCAAGATGTCCTTTCATACTGCTGGCCTAGACATGACTTTCCACCATGAGCCGGTGAAGGATTGGAACAAGAACGAGAGCGTATCTGGTGACCTTTGCTGCAGCGAGCAGCCCTGCAGTAGCCATATTTAGTCCATTCACTCCATCCACCATCAACTAAAGAAATGTTTAGCAATCTCAGCTTTGAATTGATTCAGTAGAACTTTAAGCATGTTAACATTTATTCCGGCAGCTGTACCTTAAATTGTAATACTACCGATTTTTTTATATAGACAGTTGTTAAATCATTTGCCATGTTGGCTGCTCTCTTCCATTTTTAGTGTTTTACCATTTTTTTTTCATTCAGAGTTAATTAAATTTTAAAGCCTGCCCAAAGAAAGCTCATTAAAAAGCTTAGTCCCAAGTCTTAAATTTTATCTTGAATTTTTTACATGTCAAACTTTTCAGATTAATTAGATTCTTTCAACTTTGCTTTGAATAATAAGACAGATTAAAGAAAGCCTATTAAACAAGATGCTGCTAGAGACTAACTTGGACAAGGGCGGTCGCCATAACAAACATCCTGTTCAAGAAGAGGTCCATCACACTCTTTCCCACCATGTTGTGGCTTAGGACTACCGCAGGTCCTTGACCTTTCCCTAACTCCACGACCACAAGTAGCTGTACACCAGCTCCAAGAGTTCCATAGTGACCATCCACCATCCACTGAAAAAAAAAATGAAAAAAAAAAATATTTCTATTAGTTGTCTACTTTGATCCTTTCCCAACACAGGATATAAATTTAAAGTTGAATAAAAAGTTAAAACATGTTTGTTAAGAAAAAATATCTTTAGTTAATTTACTGTGTAATCTGCTGCACATTGAATAGATTCAAAGTTATACTTTTTTTTACATCCTTAAAGACACGGCAGTTCAACACACCTGGGCATTTAATGATTTCACATTTCTTGGTGTTAATGTCAGGTCCAATGCAATTTTTCCCACCAAACTGTGGCAAGGGGGAGTCACAAGTTCTTACTCTCTTGCTCACACCTGGACCACAGGAAGTGCTGCATTCAGAAAAATCTGACCATTCACTCCAAGACCCATCAACTGTTTTGAAGTAAGGAAACAAATTCATTTGAAATATTGTGCAATATTTTATATGATCTTGCACTAGTATTTAACAGATTTAGTGTTTCTCTCAAAAACTTTATAACATTAATAAACAAATCAGAATCAGTTTTTTTCTTTGGTTGTTTTTTTAATTTCAAGGGTTTTTAATTTTAAGCGTCCATTTCTTAAGGGTGAAAGGGATGAAAAGAGAGACAATGTTTGTATTTGAAAAGGGTTTTCTCTAGTGACTTGTTTAAATATAAAAAGTTTAGGACATAAATTTATACAAAAATGCATTGTGAGGAAATGCTTCTAGCCAATAGACCTGGACAAGGGCGAGTGTTGCACTCCTGCTCAGCCAATCCTTCTCCTTCACATGTCATCCCCCCATAAGCTGGGGGTGGGTAATTGCACTTTCTCTGTCTGCTCCGTATGCCGGCATTACATGTTGTAGTACAGGAACCCCATGGATACCATGGTCCCCAGTTACCATCCACTGTAAAAAAAAAAAAGGAATGAATTGAGAGAAATGTTTCAAAATTAAATTTGATGTAGGTTAAAATATCATCATGGAAGACAAACACAAAAGTTAAATAAAATGGAGCTTTCTATTTTTTTATACGCATCCCAAGAAGAAGGCAAGTTTACCTGGACAGTAGAAATTGACCATGCATGGCTGGGACTGGACATTTTCATAATCGTTGTGGTCACAGTTATCGCACACCTTGGCTCGTGACCTCCAACCGGCGCCACAAGTCACAGAGCAAGGTGACCACGACTCCCAAACAATCAGCTGACCATTGTCATCTTTTGGTGGTGGGAGCTCTGGCCCTACTTGATACTCTGGAGAAAATGGTGTAAACCATTTTTTTTTTACTTACTTTCAGTAATGATTTAGATACTTCATAATGATATTTTTAAAAATGATAATGTTAGACTTTTTTTTAAATTTAAGTGATTTATTGCTAATCAATGGATGTTGGGCTGCACATTTTGGGGTTTTTTTTTTGTTTAAAGAAAGGAAGTCACCAGAAAACAAACCTCGCCTTGCCGGTACTGGCCAGAAGAAGTCGGTGCTGGTGCTGTGTTCTGTGCTGGAGGGTGTGCTGGTGGCCATGAAAGTAGTGGTTACCACTCCTGGCAGTGTGATTCCCTCAAAATCTCTGGGTGCTCCAGTCTTAGGAAATAGTTCTGAGCATGATGTGCACTTGAATCGGTTTTTGCCAACTTTGAGCTAAAGAGATATTGGTCATTTTCTTAAATACTATTCCTTGTATTAATAACATTTGTACTTCTGTGATAATTATTATTTTTGTATTTTTTTTAAATAAGTTTTTGTTACACATATGATATCTTTATATTTTGTGTGCCATGAACATTTGGCACTTTTACAAATTACTTTACAAAATTTAATGTGTCTAATTATTGTTCATAAAGTATGTTTATAAGTTGATCAGATCTATCTTATAGTAGGCTACTTCTAATACAATTCTTTAAAAAAAATGTTATATCGATCTTGTAGGCCCATTTTTTACCATGGCCCTGGTGTGCATCGCGTACATCCCACTCAGACAGACAACAGACCTGCCTAGAGCCTTATTCATGCATGTATGGAGGATTGGAGACCATATGGTTTAAATTCCCTCAGACCTTGCGTACAGCGAACCCTGTAGTTTCACTCCTTTTATTGTTGTTTCCATAAATTTATATAGGCCCAAGTATTTTAAGAGTATAATTCATAGTACACTTCTACTTGATTTCAATAAAAAAGCATGAAAGTATAGGCCTACTTCATGTCTGCATCGCAGTTGCATTTCTTTAATTTCTTGCATCATTCATGGCCTAATGTTAATGAATATAACTTTATAAACTTATGTAGATTTATAGTCATTTATATTATTGAATAAATACAATCTAAATTATGGTATACATGTGGGAGAATTTTTTTTTTTAAAGTTACCCAGTTAATTAAGCACAAAAAAAAAAAAAAATAATAATAAAAAAAAAATAAACCGAAACCTTTCTGTCAGCAAAACCTTGACCTTTCCCAGCACAGCAGGACTCAAAATCCAAGTATAACTCTTTTTTCAAATGACCGCCACATAGGTTTGGCTTCTTTAGTCTACGATAACAGACAACAGGTCCTGGGAAAATTTAAAAAGAAAAGAAAAGTGGGGCGAGCGTGAAAAGCAGTTCAGCTGTCTTGGTGAAGACTGGTTTTTCATAGAATAGGCCCACACAACGACCTCAAAGGGTCACCAAGTGATTCTAAAGGAAATTACAAGGTTATTTTAATTAATTTTTTTTTTTTTTTTAAATAGGAAATTTCACCACGAAATTGTTCAAAGCTAATGTTATTAAATTTAGCTACACTGTGATATTCCACTTGCCAGTCAAGGTCATTAAATTGTTATGTAAGTCAGTCATGAGTGTTTTCATGATTGCAGTGACGTAGCTGGGGTTAGAGCCACCCGGGGCGGGTCAAGCTTTTTTGCCATCCCACTTCCACAAAAAACAACCTGCAGTTGGGGTGAAAATGCCATCCCTCCATATACGAAAAGAAAAGTTCCCCCAGGGCGGACTGCCCCCTCCGCACCCCCTTCCCAAGACACTGCATGACTGTCATCTCTCATGTGGCAGTGACACCACTTAGCATCAGTTTATCATCAGTGATTGCTTTCCCTTGGCAGCTGTATCGCATAATTCGCATAGTCCTTTCGAAATGAAAAATTAATTATGCAGCTCAACATTGCATTTGTACTTCGTTAGATGACAGAGACTTGATGCAAAAGGGATACATTTTTGTGTATGCTGAAAACCACAGCAGTGGGGCAAGCATCACATATTGTCACACTTGAAAACAAGATCTGGCTTAGCTACTAACAGTTTCTCAAAGTCGTCACAGGACAGTGAGCGAAGTAAGTGTGACCTAACTAACTGTGTTATTTGAATGGGGTCAAAATCATCTGTTTTACGTCTTGACAGTTGAAATGAAAATTTGTTACATCTGTGACTGTGGTGTATCTAAGGTTGGGGGGGGGGATATACACAGTTGTTTGAAGGAATGAGATGCAACAGTGCCATCTTAAGGTATGGGCGTAGAGAGCAGTTGCCCAGGGCAGGGCCTCGCACTTCTGGTTTTGGGGGGGGGGTGGTTGATCAAGCTGCCCATAGAGTTCATGAATAATGAAATATCTTTTGGCAATTTAAGTTGCGTTAAAGGTGCAGTGGGGAGTATGTAAACAAGTTTTCCGATTATCAAATTAATTTTTCGGTACTATGACTAGTTTTGGAAAAAAAAATTAAGTAGTAAATTAAAAAAAAAAATACTAAATGGATTTTTGAAATGGGAGGGGGGTGGGGATGACCAGTGAATTTCTTCGCTCGGGGCCCCAGTTGCTGTGACGACGGCCCTTACATCCAGCAGGGTGGTACACGAACGTAGACTCACAGAAAAGACTCAGATAAGGGTGTTTTTTGCCCCCCCCCCTTTCCTATCCATCCTTGCCATTGACTGGATAATGCAAGACTCCACAGACACACAAAAATGGAAACTGAATACAGTGGACACCCTGGGAACCACAGAATGAAATAGACTTTGCAGATGAGATTGCACTTCTGTCTCGCAACCAACAACACATTCATGAAAAGACAAGAGATGTAGCCACTATTTCAGCTCGGACTCTAACATTAAAAAAAAAACAAAAAAAAACAAAGACAAAGGTTATGACGATAAACAAAGCTAACAAAGAACACATATGTTTAGCAGGAAATGCACTGGAAGAGGTCAAGGCCTTCTACTTGACATAAATCGTGGATCAGAAGCAGATAGTGCGGCCATGATTGGAAATGTTGCAAGTCGGCCTTTGTGACGTAAAAGAAAATAGTTAAATTAAAGGAGCTGAGTCTGCTAACTTAAGTTAAGATGTTCACAACACATTTCATATAAGGCCTACTCTATGGAGCGGAAACTTGGAGAGCATTTCAAACAGCGAACATCGAGCAGAGAGTACAGACCTTCATGAACACTTGCCTGAGAAAAGATCCTGAACATAAAATGGAAATACATCAACAAATAAGACTAATTGCAAAGGACATATCATGACAAGGTAAAAAATGGAGTGGGATGGGGCAAACTCTTCGTAACCCCCTCCCCCCCCCCTCAAAAAAAAAACAAAAAAAACCCCAAAAAATCATCAGACAATTCCNCCCCCCAACAAAAAATACACAGAGACGCTAGCTAGAAGAGGCATAGGATACACCCGGAAGCAACTGAAAATGAACGAATAGGACCGAGAGTACCCCAGGCGGGCAAAGTACAAAATACTGAAAAGGGCATAAGTAAGTACAGAATGCTGAGAAGGGCATGAGTAAGTACAGAATGCCGAGAAGGGCATAAGTAAGTACAGAATGCCGAGAAGGGCATAAGTCAGTACAGAACGCTGAGAAGGGCATAAGTACGTACAGAATGCTGAGAAGGGCATAAGTAAGTACAGAATGCCTTGAGGGGCATAAGTAAGTACAGAACGCTGAGATATGGCGTTGTTTGGGCGCGATAAACCAATTTTACCCCGTCACCAAGTTCAAATATGTTGATCCATAGAGCAAGAGTGGTATAACAATGACGGGTGGGGATACGTACTTTAGATTTTCCTTTCTCGACACACTTCTCGATAAAATGTGCCCATTTATTTACATTGGATTTTTTAAGAAAAAAAAATACAAATTTATTGATGATTAAAAAATACAACAAAAAAACTTACCGTTAGCATTGAGCTGTTCAATCAATGACGTCACCAGTAGCGCCAGCAGAACGCTTGCGGCTATACCGGCAGTCGCGGAAAACTCCATCATAGATTTTTTTTTTTTTTTTTTTTTTTGGTTAGCGATGGGAATCTGGGAGGCGAAATTGGTTAGGAAAAACCTTATTTAAATTGGACAATGAATACGACGACGTAGACTAATGATATTCACGTTGGCGCCGACCGCTGCTGCTGCATGCGAGATTTTCATCAGCATGCTAGTTAGCTTGCGCGCGCCCACAACACAGAACAAAGAATTTTATAAAATAACATTGTTTTAAGCGTGACCGATGACCGTTATAAGAGTCCAACTTGTAATATCCAACTCCCACTCCCACCCCACCCCCACACACGCACAACCCCTCCACTCTCCGCATAATTATCTGGATTCACGCAAGCGATACTTAAAAAGACTGATTTCATGCGAATCTTTTAAAGAGGGGGACGTGCCCCCATACGTCCGACATTTTAAAAATCTGTTTGGCAGTCGCCGGATCTGTTTGAGTATAGAGCATGGCATACTGATCGTATCCGGAAATTAGTAAGAAATTTCGTCAACGGAAAATTGATCGATGGAAATTTGATCGAACGGAAATTTTGTCGAAACTTTGATTAAGTTCACACGTTAAAATTTTACGTCAAATTTCTTTTTTGAACGCACAATACTATATTATTGTAACACAAAAATAATGCGTTCAAAAAGAAATTTGACGTAAAATTATAACGTTTGAACTGAAAAAAAAAAAAAAAGATTCGATTAAATTTCCGTTCGATCAATTTTCAGTAAAAAAAATTTATTTCAAAAAAATACAGATAACGAAAAATTTGATCGAACGGAAATTTTGTCTAAACTTTGATTAAGTTCACACGTTAAAATTTTACGTCAAATTTCTTTTTTAAACGCACAATACTATATTATTATAACACAAAAATAATGCGTTCAAAAAAAAATTTGACGTAAAATTATAACGTTTGAACTGAAAAAAAAAAAAAAAAGATTCGATTAAATTTCCGTTCGATCAATTTTCCGTCGACGAAATTTCTTTCAAAGAAATACAGATAGCGAAAATGAGTCTCCCGTATTCTCAGTAATACTCATTGTGTCTCAATGTGTCTGCTTCCAACCAGTGTTTGATACGGAGAATGTATGAAGATAAAGAGTAGCTGAATAATCTTATTAAATAACAATTTGAATTAATAAATAACTTTGTTAAATTATAATTTTAATAAATAAAAAATTTCAATAAATAAATAATTTTAACAAATAATAATTTTAATAAATAAGTTGTTTTATAAATAGAGTCTAATTTTTAATAAATAATAATGTTAATATACAATAATGTTAATAAAGAAATATTGTTTATAAATACTTACTTTAATTAATAAATAATTTGAATCAATAGTAATTTTGCACACATAAACACGAACAAGCAACTAGAAGAAGATTTTTATGACTTGTTTCAAGGGAAGATCATGCACATTATAAATTATAGCCCCTGTAGTATAATGATAGCGTATGAATACTATGAATCATGCATAAGGAAGAATTAGATGCAGATATCTCCTGCAGTAGAATTTTGCAGAAGACCTCTCACAGATTCCTAAATATCTTGTTTTGTAGTTACTGTCGCTCTCTCCCTCCCTAAATCCCTCTCGATCTTTGATACTCTTCAATCACTATTAACGCATTCTTTGATCCCTGTCATTCAATTTAAATACAATCTCTGATTCTCTTATTCTATATTTCTATTCCCCCCCCCCCTCTCTTTTTGTTCGCGCCCCCTTCTCAAGCAAAGTCCGACACTGGAAAGCTAGCAAGGGAAACAGAAGCCGACCCGAATCCACACACCACTCTCTCCCTTTACTACGACGCCAATAAAATGATAAGAGACAAGAGCTTTTAGCCCTTGAATCTTGACACAAACAGAGTTAATTTCCCGTGGCCGTCTGCTGGCCGATGTTTCTGTTTGATTAGCAGACACTATCCTCCCAGAGTTTATTATTTTGACCGGCTCGAATAATAATTTAAAAAAATAATAATACACAAACGACACAAACGTATGGAATGTCAAAGGCGACCAACTCTTTGTGCCGAAACGGTTGTTTCTTAAATATTACTCATTTGTCAAAATAAAGGATAAAAAAATATATATATAAATAAAATTAAAACGGAAATCAATATTTGAGGGCCATAACAATTATTATGCATAAAATAACAATAATTTAACAAGTCAGCCCCACACATGTCTTAGAGAATAAGAACCGTCAAAACATTAATTTCATCTGTTGACTTCATTCTTTTGCTTACATAGTTTAAAAACGAAATAATAATAATGACGTAAAATTTTATTGTCTATTTTTAGTGTCTGGAAAACAAGGCTTTAACTCGGTGTTTCCCAACGTAGGGCCCACACCCCACGGGGGGTGGTGGGGGGGCATTTTGATTGTTTACAGGGGCAATTCGAAAATGAGCTGTCTAGAATTCGAAAACCAATTGTCTGCTAATGATTTAACTTTAAAAGGAGAATCGTTAAAGCCTCAATTTAAAATAAGCGTTCGTTAAAAGTGAATTTCATTTCTCCAGTAGGTCTACATGTTTTGAAAAGTTACTATGTTTCCTCGCCAATTTCCTAGTGATGTCTTCCTAAAACCTATCATTTAAGTTTCTTCAGTGAACAGCCCTATTTTTGAATATTAAAAAAAGTATGTACATGATGCATGGGGGCATACGAATTTTAGAAAGGCTTGGGCGGGGGCATGGCACCAAAAAAAAAAAAAAAAAAGTTTTGAAAAATTACTTTAACTAATAATAATGGGATATTGATGACGGTATTGAGCTCTTCTGCAATTTTTTTGGCTTTTTAATTTTAGTAGGCTGCTGTGACAACGATCTTGTGTGACGACAAACATTAAAAAAAAAAAAAACACATAAAAACTTAAAATGACAGTGATGTTGAAATTTCGGTTGTGATGTAGGCCTATGTATTCTGACAGAAGATGTCACTTTTATAAACTTAGATCTAATAGTTTAAGTGTGAAATGTTTTTTTTAGATTAAATTTTAATTAGTTTTTTTAATATTTTTTAACAATAGTTTAGTTTGAAAGTGACGAAAGTTTTACGTACATGGGGGGCGCGGATTCTGTGATTTGTGACAGATTGTTACGGGGGGAGGGGGGTAATTGTAAAAAAATAGCAAGACGTTCTATAGGAACGACCCCCTATGGAATATATAAAACCTATATGACTATTATCACTATCATTCAACCACCCCTCTGTATAATAATTATTTTTAAGCTATCATAAATAATAAAAACTAGCAACAGGAAAAAAATAGGAATTTTACTTTAAAGAATAATTGTAAGACGTTAAAATCGTATGACTACGTACCTTCTCTCAACAAGAAAACGTTAAGATCCCACGTCTGAATGGTACGAGTCAACTTTTCCTCAGTTCGAATTGACCGTCTGCAATGAGTTCTTTAGCCGAGTGGTTTCCCTTTGGAGATTGTCACTTGCGAGTTTTAGGTTTCATGACTTCCTCGCCTCACCCACCACCTCCCTTTTACACACCCAGCCATTTCCAGTCCTCCATAAGAGAGGGGGGTACGCTCAGTCTTATTGGATACATTTCTTTTTTAGGTTTTGTTTTCAGCAATTCTCTCGCGCCACAGTAAGTTAATATTTCAGAACCGACACAACCGATAATAAGCTCAGATGAATTCCTTTGTTTAAAACGACTTGACTAGAGTAACTCCAAGTACTAGGGGCAGTGGTTCTCAACCTTTCTAGTGCCGCGACCCCTTAATACAGTTTTTCGTGTCGTGGCGACCCCCCCCCCCAGCCACACAATTATTTTCGTTGCTACTTCATAGCTGTAAGGATATATGTTTTCAGATGGTCTTAGGCGACCCCTGGAAAAGGGTCCCGCGACCCCCAAAGGGGACGCGACCCACAGGTTGAGAACCGCTGTACCAGGGGCTTAACTGTTGGGATGGCTTTCATAGTCACAGCACCAGCCAATATGTCAACACAGAGTAGTGTGCGAAAAACTTAAAGGGAACTTGTGACACAGACGATCTTGTGACATTTGACAGTAGATTATCTTGTGCCTTATTACAGTAGGTGATCTTTATCTTACAATGCATCATGGGACGGAGCAACAAACGGCGTAATTGATGATCGAGGAGACCGGGAAACCCCCCCCCCCCCCACAACTTTGAAAAGGGTGGGGGGGGGGTGGGTTGCAGTCTGCAGCAAACTTTTAACAGTTAACCCCAACAATTTTTGGAGAAGGTAAAAAAAAAAAAAAGCTAAATGAGGGAACCACTAGACAACAGAGGGAGAGAGAGAGAGAGAGAGAGAGAGAGAGAGAGAGAGGGAGAGAGAGAGAGAGAGAGAGAGAGAGAGAGGCGTTTCAAGAGTGCTTCATCACACGCTGGTTGCTTGGTGTATGGTCCGCCGGTACTTAAAATATAAGTACCGGTACAATCCTATGCAGTCCCTGATCATCATGGCAAGGGCTTGGCTTAGCTAAAATTACTCCGTTCATCTATTTTATATTCTTCATTAGTAAAAAAATAAATAAATGCAAGCTACCTATAAGCTCACGTGTTAAGCATGCAATTAAACTTGCAGGAATATCTCTATCTCTCTCTCTCTCTCTCTCTCTATATATATATATATATATATATATATATATATATATATATATATAAACATAATATATATATCATATATCACAATATATGAGTCATGTTCACGGTAATAGAATATATCCATACAGACATCTAATTGTGATACATGCGTAGATAGTTCTCAATACAGACGCTGTGCATCTAGTCCACACTGCCCGCGTCGCTGTCCGTGCGGCTAAATCATAATCATCTCACCAGGAACTGGGCAGCCTGGAATAAATGCGCCCCAGCTAATATCGCGAGATCGTGAACCGCTCAGAAGCTCATATACATTTCTACTTAGTCACTGGATCAATAACCCGTGCCATGGAATATGTATTTCTCTGTGTGTGCGTGTGCGAGGTCGTTTTCCACTGGACAGAGTAGCCGCGTGCCAAACGGGGTGTATCCAATGTAAATTTTCTTGTATTGTGGGAACATGATATGTGGTTTCGGGAAGAGAGGGGAAAATGGTTCGCTACACGCAAATTAACAATTTTTATAGTAAAAAACGGAACTAATTGATTTTTTTTTTTTTTGGGGGGGGGGGGGGATGGTGGTGGGGGAGGGGGGGGGGGTGGTTGGGGGTGTGTAGATATGTAGAGTGTATACGACTGCAAATTTGAGGATCACTGCCTCCAAAAAAAAACAAAAAAAAACAACAAAAAAAAAACTTCTGAATCTGATTATCTGCGCCAAGTTCCGTTGCGCGCTGTATTCACGTTCTTTTGTAACCATAGTGTCTGGACGGCTTGGTGATCTCATGATGGCTGAATGATCTGAACAGACTCCTTGCACACTCGTTTAGGGTAACACTCTGCAATGCTGCGACCGTGGAAAAAAAAACACAACAAAAAACGACCACAAATTATGCTGCATCAGTCTGGTGGTGCACATTCCTCCAGACCAGCACGGGGGTCTTGAGTGTCACGCCTCAGTCTTTTTAAGGTCGATCGAGAGTTGAAGATGGGGCAAACGGTCAGGTCGACTCATCACCGTGGGACATGTCAAATATTAATGATCTGGGAGGATTGGCGTGGGGGGTGGGGTTTAAGAGTGTGTGTTGAGGGACGCGCGTGCTGGGAATGGGGGAACATCTCCTTAAGACAAGGTCAGATGTTTTATTCATCAGAATAGAATCAATTCATCATTCACTTCATTTGCATTGCCCCCCTGATACAGCATTCATTTCATATGCAGTACCTATTTATGCAACATTCATTTCATTTGCATTGCCCCCTGATGCAACATTCATTTCATATGCAGTACCCATTGATGCAACATTCATTTCATTTGCATTGCCCCTTGATACAACATTCATTTCATATGCAGTAGGCCTACCCCTTGATACAACATTCATTTCATATGTATTGCCCCTTGATACAACATTATTTTCATTTGCATTGCCCCTTGATACAAAATACAAGATTCATTTCATTTGCATTGCCCCTTGATACAAAATACAACATTCATTTCATATGCCTTGCCCCTTGAAACAACATTAACTTCATATGAATTACCCCTTGATACAGCATTCATTTCATATGTATTGCCCCTTGATACACAATTCATTTCATAAGAAATACCCCTTATACAACATTCATTTCATATGTACTGCCCTTTGATACAACATTAATTTCATTTGCAATGCCCCTTGATACACCATTCATTTCATTACCAATGCCCCTTATACAACATTCATTTCATATTTATTGCCCCTTGATAAACCATTCATTTCATATGTACGGCCCCCTTGGTCCATCGGGTTTTCTGTAGATCGATTTCCCACTATTGAATTTCTCCCAGAGCAATTTTGTGTGAGATATTCATCACGCCATGTTTGCCTTTTTACTTTTACTCCACTTATTCTGCCTGGCCAAAATTTATATTCTGTCCGCATGTGGTTACCCATAAACAAAAAAGATGCTCGGTTTCTAAGGGTCATGAGCAGATCACGTGGTTCACATCCACTTCCGAAGGGAAGGTTTTGAGCTAGTCATTCGGTAGGCAGCAGTGCTACTAGTAGGTAAATATGCTAGTCTACAGATTAGAAGAACGTTTTCACAACTTAGATCCCCGATCCACATCGTACACTTCCGAGATTCACAGAGAAGCACGGTTCGCGTAGACGTAGAGCAATGGTTCACATAGAGCAGGGCTCAGCGAAATCTTTTAGACATGACCAGAAAAAACATATTTGTTAACGATGGCGTTACAACAACCCCCCCCCCCCCCCCAAAAC